CCACTAGGATGGAGCCCATAACCCTGGCATGTGCCCTGACCAGTAACCTCTTGGCTCCTGCTGGAGAGTCCCTGGTTGGATTCTGGTCAAGGGCACATGTCCAGGTAGTGAGACCGGTCCCCAGTGGGGGGCGTGCAAGAGGCAGCCAATCAATGATTCTCTCTCATCATTGATGTTTCTAACTCTTTCTCCCTCTCCCTTCCTATCTGAAATCAATAAAAATATTTTTTAAAATGAAATAAATAAATACCATCCATAAGTTCATCGGTCATACAAAAATAGCAAGGAATTGGCTGGATTTGGCCACAAATCACAATTTGCTGACCCTTTCTAGATGATCTCATCGGAAAACAACAAAGGAATATGTGGAATTCCTAAACTAAAACAGTGCGAAGCAGTAATAATAAAACATTAAATACATACCTTTTTTTAAAAAAATATTTTATTGATTTTTTAGAGAAGAAGGGAGATGGAGAGAGAGAGAGATAGAAACATCAATGATAAGAGAGAATCATTGATCGGCTGCCTCCTGCACGCCCCACACTGGGGCTCGAGCCCACAATCCTGGCATGTGCTCTGACTGGGAATCCAACCATGACCGCCTGGTTCATGGGTCAAAGCTCAATCACTGAGCCACAACAGCCAGGCAGTAACACAAGTTTTTAAACTTCCTATTAGGACATTCTTCTATGCCTTGACTCACATGTGCTACATTTTCTCCTTCCTATGTTCTTCGTGGTGAAAATGGGAATTATTATATTCTAGTTCATATGTTAGAGGGCTACTAGAAAGCTAATGCATACTCTAATATCTAGAATAAGTTATTTAATTCTGATAATATTTTACTCATTGAGGGGCACAAATTCATACCCAATACTCAAAGTGATGGCTGGGGTCCTGAGAAAGTCATTTCTTGGTTGTACTTTATTGATTTCATAGAGAGGAAGGGAGAGGGAAAGAAGATAGAAACACCAATGATGACAGAGAATCATTGATAGGTTGCCTCCTGCACACTTCCTATTGGGGATCAAGCTCACAACCCAGGCATGTGCCCTTGGCTGGAATCGAACCTGGGACCCTTCAGTCCACAGGCTGACGCTCTATCCACTAAGCCAAACCAGCCAGGGCTAAATACATAGCTTTATAATTGCACAACAAATTTCCTAAAATTTGGATAAACTATTTTCCTTGTATCAGTACGCTTTTGGCTAAACATTAACAAAAATGTCTGGCTAACAGTGGCTTCACAATAAGGACAGTTTATTTTGCCACTTATCAAGGATTTAAGAGGTAGGGAGTTTCTGGGGGTTTTCAGTATCGTGTTGAACTCAGCAATAGCCTGGGCTCTTTCATCATTCTGTTCTGCTACCCTCAGTAGATCCATGACATCTCCCCTGCTGGTCACAAGATGGCTGCAGCAGCTCAGGACTTACATCCGCATCCTTACAGAACCACATGTAAAAGCAGGAGTAGGGAGAGGGTGAGTAGGCCATGGGCTCCTTGTATGTATTTATTTGGTTTTATTTTTTAATTAAATTTATTAGGGTGACATTGGTTAATACAATTTTATAGGTTTCAGGTGTATAATTCTATAATGCATCATCTGTATATTTTATTGTGTGTTCACCACTCCAAGTCTCCTTCCATCACCATTTATCCTCCCTTTACCTTCTTCTTCTACTTCCCCTATTCCCCTTTTCCTCTGGTAATCTGGTAATCATAATACTATTGTCTATGAGCAGCTTTTTGGTTTTGTTCTTTTATTTAATTCCTTCACCTTTCTCACCTAGCCCCCTCAAGCACCCTCCCCTCTGACAGTTGGCAGTCTGTTCTCCCTATGAGGCTATTTCCACTTTATTTGTTAATTTTGTTCATTAGATTCCACATATAAATGAAATCATATAGTACTTGTCTTTCTCTGACTGGCTTGCTTCACTTAGCAAAATACTCTCTCAACCCATCCATTGCTGTTGCAAGATAAGATTTCCTTCCCTTCTTTTTTATGGCCACGTAATATTCCATTGTGTAAATGTACCATGCCTCTTTTATCCACTCATCTACAGATGGTCACTGGGCTGCTTCCAAATCTTGGCTATTGTAAATAACACTGCAGTGAACCTAGGGGTGCTTATGTTCTTCTGAGTCAGTGCTTCAGGTTTCTTTGGATGTATTCCCACAAGTGGAATCGCTGAGTCATAAGGCAATTCCATTTTTAATTCTTTTAGGTAACTCCAAACTGTCTGTGACAGTGGATGCACCAGTCTGCATCCCCATCAACAGTGCAAGAGAGTTCCCTTTTCTCCACATCCTTGCCAACACTTGTTTATTTATTTACTGATAGCCATTCTGACAGATGTGAGGTGATCTCATAGTGGTTGTAATTTGTATTTTTCTGATGATTCGTGAAGTTGAGCATTGTTTCATATGTCAATTGGCCATCTTTATGTCCTTTTGAGAGAAATGTCTATTCAGATCTTTTGCCCACTTCTTAATTGAATTGTTTAATTTATTTTGTTGTTGTTGAGTTTTATAAGTTCCTTCTATATTTTGAATATTAAGAACTTACTAGATGTATTATTGACAAATATGTTCTCCCATTCAGTTCCTGTTAAAATATAGCTGTATCCTCTTCTTTAATTAGATCTTCATGAACTTATCTGCTGTATGTCAGCCCCCTAATGCTGCTGAATAAAGTCAGCATCATTTATGCCTTTTAGTGACCTTTTTTTCTTTAATGATATTTATATAAAATCATATTTAGTGAAAGCATCAAAGTAAATAAGTAACATTTATAATTCATTTACTGAGGAAATAACACAATTTATTATTAAAATGAAAGAAATTTTTCACCTTTCTCCAATGAGATTGAAATAAGAGAGAATCTGCTGTAAAGTGCTGACTTCTATTAAATTCTAGTGTGGGAAGTGATGTTCTACCAGTAGTTGAAACCACTTATTAGTTCATTATTTTTATTCTGAGTATCCTTTTTTGGTTTTATTTTGTTTATTAGGAACTAGATCAGTCTGAGACAGGTTATGTTGATGAAATTAAATAGAATGTTTAAAACATTTTAATTAGAATTAAAACACATCAGTATACATATACTTTCTGCTACATTGGAAAATAGAACAATAAAATGTAAGGAGCATGAATCAGTCCATAGTCTTCTGTCACTGTGTTAATTCCTAGGGGAGGGGTGATTCCGGGCTGCCCGCTCCTGTGTGTACAGTGGATCTCCCACGGTCCAGGGCTCCAGGTTCCTCCACCGGCCCCTGTGCACTCCAGCTGGCACTTGGCGAAGACTAGTTTCCTGGCAAGGCTGCAGCAACCAGGTCTGAAGGCGGTACTCATCAGCTCTGCTCCTTGTCGCTTCCGCATCTTGGTCTGCTTACCTAAAACACCTAACTCGCTGGTTA